AGGGGGTTCTGTGTCTCCTGGACACAGGGCCCCGCCATTGTGCCTCAATTAGCAGCTATTTCCGTCATTCCTGATCTCTAGACCATTGCTCCACTCCTGCATCTGTCAACATGTTCTGTCTAGACGTGCTGACATGGCTGGTTGTGCCACAGCCAAGGGTCAGTGCCAGGAAGCAGACTGCCTCTTCCTACCACAAGTAGATTGTGTGCAAATCTAATTAAGCCTACCCTCCCAGGGTGAGGTTTCTGGAGCTTGTGTCCATCACATGGCACAGTGAAGGGGCTTCGTGGTCCCCCAGGCTCCACCCCTCCTGGACATCCACTACTCTCATGAGCCTACTCCTCCCAGACTCCTGCTTCTCCCCATGCCCCACCCCTTCCTGTACTTCATTCCTCTGTATTCCTCACAGAGCCTAGATCCTCGATGCTGCCCCACTCTTCCCTCCAGCCCTTTTCCTCCAGACCTTTGCTTTTCCCCACACCAGACCCTCCTCTCACTCTGACCCCCTTTGATCCCCAAAGCTCCTAATGCCAGCTTTTCCCTATACTCTATTCTTTCCTCATCCCCACCTCTCCCCACTCCTCCCTACTGTCTCTGTCCAGGAGAGTTAGTTTCCCCTGCAAAGGGCACAGGTGGGAAAGGAGGAAACAATCACAGCTTCCTCTCGCCCTGGCAAGGGCTATTGGTGTCTGAGAGTTCTGCATCAGTGTGACTGCAGACCCTTCCCTGTGCTCAGGTGGATCACATCACCAGAACCAGAAAGATGAAAGCAGGGACACCAGGAGCTCTCCAGAGCCCCAAAGAATGGAGAGGCTGGCATTCACCACCAGGATCAGATTCACCAGTATTGCCTGGTTCTAATCCCTATCAAGGCATAAGCCCCCCAAAGCCCTGCATTTGAGAAATGCCATTTCAGGGCCTTTCCCCTGTCTCCTTCCATCCCCCTCCAAAACCCCCCTCAGCTGTACCACATTTGGGGGTGACCAATCCAAAAAAAAAAAAAAAAAGGCAAGGAAGGCTCACAAAGACTCTGGGGAGCTCCAAATGTGGGAAGCACCAACTTGTCTGGGATCCCCTGAAGGAAAGAAACTTTCACAAGGCATCTGTATCCATAGCAGCTGTGCTAAATGTTTATGAGGATGGGGGGCTTTAGTGGTTCCATAGTGTTTATTCCCCTCAAAAACAGCATTGACTTATGTGACTTGCTTCTCCACCCTTTGAGAAATCTTTGCAAACCATCCTCCCACCAAGCTCATTTCAGTATATTACACAGAACAATTTAACTCCTGTCCCTTAGAGCTTCGGTTTCGGGGTTGAGAGTTGCACCCTGTAGGGAGGTAGCCCCAGCTTCAAATCCCAGGTCCTCTAGTTACTCTTGTTTAATGGGGCATGCAGGGGAGGGAGGAGGCAAATTATTTCAGCTCTTCCATTTTTTTTTCCTTCATCAATTGGGGATGATAATGAGAATACTAATAATCCCTGCATTATGTTTAAGTGAAATGACATTAGAAATGACTGGCATATGCCAAGGGATCAGAGCGTGTTCACTGTTACTGTCATTTGTCTGCCAATCTGTACAGAAGGAAGTGGGATACTGAGTAGTGTCCCCACTGATGTAGTGAAGCCATTGCTTCAGAAGGCAGAAGTTGGATTTAAATAGCTATTTTTCCCTGTCTGTTACCTAAGCTCTCAGCAACCCTAATCCACTCAAGTCACCTCAGCAAACACCCAAGACCAAAATTGAGAAGTGTTGTTAATGGTGTGGAGAAAGCACAGGTCAAAATAAGACCCAGAGCCTGAGCTTGCAGACTCTGCATGACAACTGGGTTCCCAGGATAAACTGACACATTCCCTCCATCCTCATGGCAACCCATGTGAACGCCAGTTGGAAGGGAACTCAGAGATGTGCTAGACTTCATGACTCAGGCGTAGGATGTGGGCTTAGAAACCAAAGAGAGAAGCAAGTGAAATGCTTCTATTTCAATAAGAATGTAATTTGGAGCATTATATTCAAATAGAAAATCCTTTAGCTGCTACTGCTGATTTATTTCCACCTTGTTGTGCCACTAGAACTTTGAATGTTTCAGTTAAAATGCATCACGTACATTAGCCATCATGCATGGTAATGCAGGGAATGCGATGGCACTCTTTGGGGGTCCATTTGCAGCCTGAGGTTGTACATCAAGCCCAATATCTGCAAACTTTTAGGATTTCCCTAACCTGCATCCCCCTTCCACTTGTTCTCCCTTATCAACCACCAGCAAGCACTCTCTACTCATTTTGGTCTTTGCTCATCAGCTCTCTCACCACCACACAACCGATCTTCCCGATCAGTGATTTTGTGTTTAAAATAGGTTTTATTATTATTTGGGTATGGCAAGGGCAACAGATCAGAAGACAGCTGCCATTGGAAAGATAGTTTGCAAACCACAGACCTCAAAGGAAGGGGGTACACCATCCATCGCAGGGAAGAGGGTGGGGGCACACACAGGGAAGCACTAGGGTCGGTCACAGGAAAGAAGGGAAACTGTGGGCAAAGAGCTTTCTTTATTGTGGTTTCCATGAGAATGAATGGGCATATGGGAGGCTGGATAAGCAGTCTTAGGATGGGCTAGTTTGAATAATTTAAGTGGGCCCTGGGGTCTAGACTGTCCCTATTTTCCTGGTACTTGAACATAGTTGAAATATTGGCCTGGAGTGTGAAAGCCCAATAGAGAAGGCACTTGGGGGTATGAGCTCTGGATTGGTTGATTTGCATCTGGAAAGCACAATCTAGACCTTAACAGAATTGGTTGCTATCTCTAGGAATGGGCTAGACCTGAGGGAAAGGAGGAAAGTCCTTCCAGGGTCAGCCAGGGTCTATAAGTGCTTATTTAAAGCATAAGGAAACAGAAAATTAAAGACTATTAATACGCTTGGTTATGTCACTTCCTACTGGACTGTCAATGGCTTTCATTGGCTGAGGAGCTGGCATTCGAGGTTTTTTTTTTTTTTTTTACATTCTGGTCCCTGCTATAGAGTCCAGCCTTGCCCACCATGCTGTCCTTTTCTCCTTTTGAACCTTAAGTTGCACGTAAACTGAACTCCTCACTGTCTCTCATCAGTTCAGTAAAATCAATGAAACAAAAGCAACATACTTGTTGGTGTGCCTGGGTGGCTCAGTTGGTTAATCTGCTGCCTTTGGCTCAAGTCACAATCCCAGCGTCCTGGGATCGGGTTCCACACCGGGCTCCTTGCTGAGTGGGGAGCCTGCTTCTCTCTCTGTCTCTGCATGCCACTCTGCCTGCTTGTGCTCTCTCTTTCTCTCTGACAAATAAATAAAATCTTCAAAAAAAAAAAAAAAAACCAACATACTTGTATGATTCTTTTTCATGCCCCCTCTCCAATATCTGGCTAACCAAGGCCTATCTTTAATGTCACCTGCTCTATGAGAGCTGGTGATGGTGTGTGGCCCAGGTCACACAGGTAATGCCAGGCACAGAGCTCTGTCCATGTAAGTGCTTAGGAAAAATCTCTTCTATGTTTCTTCACCCACTCAAATACTATCTCTCCGTCCAGTTGCAGATAAAACCTCTATAAAGACTCCCCAGCCCATTTGAATTTTCTTGCTTCCCCCCCGTCTGATTTTTTTTTTTAATGGCCCTTATGGCTTAAAATTTATTTTGCTGATAGTTGTTTAGCATGTATTGGTTTTGTCACCTTGCCTGTGAGCACATGGAGAAGAACTTCCAGGTGTGTTCTTTGTCATTTCAGAGCCTTCTGTGCTCTAATACTCATGAGATCAGTAATAAGTAGACATTATTGGATTAATAAGCACTGAAAACTGCCCTGTGAATCAGCAAAATGAGTATTGGATGGGATGTCATAAGACGTGTCTAGGATGGGTTCTTGAATTGATTTGCAATGCCACCTCTCATTGCCCACAAAGCCAGGCTGTTTGCAGACATCCGGAAGTGTGTGATTTCAGTCGCTTCTCTAAGAAACAGTGATTTCTCCTTCCCTGGTGAGAGTTTACCCTCTTTCCTTTGGATTTTCAGCTTGGATCCTTCTGTAGTGGGTTCAGGATGTCCCATGAATATTACCAAATTTTCAGACTTGATTGTCATAGATTGGAATAGTGATTGCCAAAAGAATAAAAATTTACAAATAGAATTTTCATGTTTAGCTTGATTTCTTTTTTCTACTTTCTTACTGCATACTTTGCAAACAAACAAACAAAACAAAACAAAAAACAAATGAACAAACAAAATGTAGGATCATCTGTCTAAATACTTGCTTGTTTTGCTGGCAAGCCTGTGGGGGTTGCACCATGGCCCATTTCCCCCTCTCCTACACCTGGCTTTAGCTATAGGCTCCCATTTTCCCCAGACGAATGCATCATCATCTCAAGGTGATGATACGGCCTAGTTAGTGTGGGAATGGCCATGCCATTCTGGAAGAGAAAGAAAATGTAATGACCTAGAGACCTCCCACAGGTATTATGTCTCCAGGGTGCAGAGGGTTTTTATTTCCAGCCCTCATGGAGGGTAGGAGAGGGAAGTGGCTTACCTTATAGAGAAAATCTGTAGATAGAGCTCCTCCGCTGTGGATGGTAAAGATGCACGACTGCCTGGTGGGAGATGGAGGACCTAGGGGAGTTTTCAGGGTCCTGCCAGCAACCTGATTTTATGATGACTTTAAAAAAAATTTTTTTGACCTTTATATTGGTGTGGCTATTGCTTAAATGCCAATACGTCTCATCTGGTTCTTACCTAAATAAAACAGAGGATTTAAAAAAAAATTTTTTTTATTAAAACAACAACAACAGGGCATTTATAGACATGATTTACACCTATTAAGCCTCATATTTGCATTTACAAGAAAGCAACCACTGTTTCCTACCTTGCCTGAAAATAATGTCCATTTCTCCTGGGTTCCAACCTGAATTTGACCAGTCATGAAGGAAATATGCCTGTGGCTGTGCACAAACTAATTCTTTTCTTTTCTTTTTTTTCCCCCAGGATTACACCTTAACCATGTATTTTCAACAATATTGGAGAGATAAAAGGCTTGCCTATTCTGGGATCCCTCTCAACCTCACGCTTGACAATCGAGTGGCTGACCAGCTATGGGTGCCTGACACATATTTCTTAAACGACAAAAAGTCATTTGTGCATGGAGTGACAGTGAAAAACCGCATGATCCGCCTTCACCCTGATGGGACGGTGCTGTACGGGCTCAGGTCTGTCTGCCTTTTCAGGGCCAATTTTGCAGTTGCATGGTGCATTGGCGTTGAATTTCTCACTTGAGGTGATTATAGGGAGTGAGACCACGTCTTCAGATTATTAGGAGACAACTGCAAAACACTGAGCTTTGCACACACACATGCACACACACACACACACACACACACACACACAAATCTTAGAAATACAAGATTTGGGGCATTATTGTTACCATAAATAGTCACCACGCAAGGGAAAAACTTCCTCCTTGGATTGATTTTAAATAATTGGTTTGCCTATCTAAGAACACAGATTCCCTGAGGATGGATTTCCCATATTATAACCACAGAGTCCTGTAATTAATATTGCTGTGAGGGGTGCCTGGGTGGCTCAGTGGGTTAAGCCTCTGCCTCCGGCTCGGGTCATGGTCTCAGGGTCCTGGGATCGAGCCCCACATCGGGATCTCTGCTCAGCAGAGAGCCTGCTTCCCTTCTTCTCTCTCTCTGCCTGCCTCTCTGCCTACTTGTGATCTCTGTCTGTCAAATAACTAAATAAAATCTTTAAAAAAAAAATATTGCTGTGACACTGCAGAGCTTTTCAGTAAAGTTTTCCCAAAGCTGTTTGCCCAGGTGAAAAAAAAAATGTCTAGTTTTGCTGTTACACGGTATAATCTCCTCAGAGCTTCATGAGGTAGTGTCACCAATATTTATGGGAATGACTAAATGAGAGGCTTCCTGATGAGAATCATCTCTCACCAGGTCTCATAAGGAAATCACTTGACTCAGTAAACCAGACTGCTGCCTGGAACCCTGAGGAGGCTCTGGGCTTCCCTGGTTACCCAGGAAACCACCAGACCTTCCCATGATGTTCCACCACGGCTGGTGGCTAATTATTTGAATATCATCACCCTTGCTAAATGGTGATCTTAAAAATCTTTCATCCTTGTGTTGATTTTGCAATGATTTTTGTTTTGTTTTGTTTTGTTTTGTTTTGAAGTGATTTGTGTGTCTGTGTCTGTGTCTGTGGGTGGGTAGGTAGGTATGGGTGTGAGTGCGTACATGCATACATGTGTGTCTTTCTTATATCCTGGCCTAAAAGTGCCTTTGAGATCTTGTAGGAATGACCACAGTTTTGAGTAGGACACAGGTGGATATCTTGGAGAAGATATTTGTCATAAAATTTTGTGAGTCCATAATCCTCTAACGAAGACTCCAGCACATCTAAAGGAAATCATAAAAACATATATTTAAATCCATATCACTGTGACTTTTACTGCTTCAGATGAGGAAAGGGGAATATTTAACATTGCCTTAAGTAGAAAATATTGAGTGACTTTCTCAAAACAGCAATATACAGAATAAGAGACAGAATTTTAGCAAAAAATCAGACTTTGTAATGGAGGAAAAGTGGTGCATGTCAAACAAGCCATGGTATTACTGTAGGAAAAAAGTTCAGATTGATGTTTTTCTGGACATTCCAGGCATTTTGTATTTTTGCCTGGAAATAAAAAACATGGATGTAAAATTCTGGAAGTTCTGACAAGTACATCAGTTGTACAAAAGATTACCCAGAAACCATGTGAGCATGAAATGAGGAGTCATGTCCCTCCTTTATCTGCCCCCCAAAATATGAATAGAAAAAGTGTGTGTGTGTGTGTGTGTGTGTGTGTGTGTGTGTGTGTGTAGAGCAAAAAGAAACAAATCTCAATAAAAAATGAAGCCTAGACTTCTTGGCTTTTTAAAAAAGAATTATTTATTTATTTTAGAGACAGAGAGAGAGGAGAAAGAGAAGATGAGGAGGGTTGGGAGGGGCAGAGGGAGAGGAAGTAGGAGAGAAGCAGACTCTGCTGAGTAGGGAGCCTGAGGCAGGGCTCAATTCAGGACCCTGATATCATAACCTGAGCCAAAATCAAGTCAAATGCTTAAACATCTGAGCCAGCCACCTAGGCTTCCTGGCTTTCTAAACAAAACTTGGTATTTGGGTCCTCTCCATTTTTATTTTTGCATTCTTTATTTTCTTACCAGAGTTAGAATATGTTAGTATGCCTCTGTTGAAACTTTAACTGTTAGGATAGTGCCTTAGTCTATTCACACTGCTATAACAAAATACCATAAGCTGGGTGGCTTACAAACAACAGACATTTATTTCTCACATTTCTGGAGCCTGTAATACAAGATCAAGGTGCCAGTGTCAAGGAGCGGCCAGCTTCCTCATTCACAATAGGTGCCTTCTTGCTGTGTGCTCAGCTGGTGAACCCGGCAAGGGAGTTCTGTGGGATCTCTTTTATAAGAACACTAATCCCATTCATGAAAGATCCACCCTCATAACCTAATACCACCACCTTTAGGGGTTAAGATTTCAACATATGAGTTTAGGGAATGGGAACTTAAACATTTAAACCATAGTAGTCAGAATGATATGATATGAATGAAGGGACTGTAATAAATTTCCAAGCTGTGTTTGGAAGTGTTGGATTTAACAACATAAAACATGCAAGAATAAGGAAACCAAGAGAATAAAACTGCATCCTTAGCTAATACTCTGCCTATAAATTTATATATAAAAGTTAAGTAATCATATAATAAGCTTTGGGAAGTTTTCAATAATAAACTTGGTACAATAACTTCAAGAACTCTCTAGTCAAATTTATATGCATTATACATCTCAAACAGCCTTTTAAGTCAGTAAATGGATTTCTAAATAAATAGCTGTATTTATTCAAATGTAGTCTTAATATACTCCTTAGATCTTTATTTAGAACCTCATATTTTTGAAACAATTCTTCAGATCTCTGTGGACCAGAAAGAAAAATCTCTAAACAACAGACCGCCACATTCTGCACATGCTTAACAGCTACCCTGTGCCATCTGATTCCTTTTGAAATTGGCTGATCTAGAAATTTCTGCCTTTAGATTTAAAAATCACACATAGCTATAGAAGTCAATTTGAATTTGAATTTGAAGTAATTCAAATTTTTGGACAAGAAACACTTTAGTATTTCAAAATACTGATAATGTAATTAAATTCATGTATATACATATTCTGATTTACTCTATGTGAACCGAAGTACCATTTATATTTATTCTATTTTATACACACACACACACACTCACAGTATAGGTATTGTGTTTTTGGTTTAAAAAAAAAAAACAGTGTGAGTGTTCACATTGGTAAGGCACCCTCTGTCATCCTCTTGGCCCCAAACCCTGTCGTCCATTTGTTCTCTTTCTCCTGTTGTGTTCACTGGATCATATTAGTGACATGGCAAACCAAGGATGGGCCAGTGTATGAAACCCTAGTGATACAGTATATCCTTTTGGTATCTAGGTACCATGCATGAACCTGAAGGAGGTCTGATACAGCTGAGGTCTTTAGTGAGTTGAACTCCCATGGAGCTTGATGGAGCACTGGGATCATTGTTTATCTACTGCTTTTACAGTGCTGCTGATGAAATTCCAGCCCAACAGGGATTGCTTTCTTACTGGCTGTATCTCTGAGATAGTGGTTATCCTGGATGTATCCCTGAGACATCAGTGTTGATTATTTTCTCCCCATTTGAGACTGGAATTTCCTTCACCCAGCTATACGCAGTTGCCTATACTGGTAGGTCAGTCACCGTTAAGCTCCTCTAGGCTTCTTTTCCTGTTCATGTCCAGCCATTGCAGTATGGGATCAATGAGGGCTTTTTCTTTATCAAGCGTAGATGAAGATCTCTGGCTGTGGATGAGCTGTCCATGATGTAGGTTTGTACGTCATCTCAGTCTTATTCTGGGAAATCATTAATCCGTTACTCTGATGACTCTGCAAAAGTGGTCGATGACTGCTCACACAGATAGTTGAGAGTGATCATGTTCTTGTAGTGATAAAAAGTCATTATAAATCAGAAACTGTTTTTTCAATGACTCTTAAAGCCTCTTGAGTTTGAAACTTGGGCTAACGCTACCATGAGCTCATTGGATTGGGCTCAGCTAAATCAGTGATGAGCCTTTTACACACTCTACGTCACCATGTGATGTGAGAGAATGCTCTAGATAGGGCATACATACCATCCTAAAATAAAACTGGGGCTCTTTGAATTTCCTTTGGGCAGCCAGACCTTTTTAGGAACTAGGAAAATCTTGGCTAAGATGCTTATGGATCTTGGGGCTGTTCCTGTCACAGTTTTTCTGTTTTCTTTGGTTCTGGGCTCGAGTTTTTTTGCTGCCTGTGAGAAGGTAGAGTCATCCCTCTCCTGTCTTCCCGTGTTTCTTTTTCAGTCAGCTGATCACCTGATGTCACTGAATATCTTACCTAGCATCATTTTGTAGCGTGACCTTTTCTTCAGGCCACATACTTCATCTTTGTTTTTTTGTTTTTTTTGTTTTTTTTCCTGATGCTAGGAATTGGAAATGGGTTCACAAAACAGTATTTGATTTGCTTCAAAAAGCACCTGAGAATCTAAGGTTGAGTCATCTTCATCAAAACAGTGTAGCCATGTTCTTCCTGAGAAGCTTATTGCAAAATTTGTTGGAAGATAAACTGCAACATTTCCACTTGCTATTAAAAATACTCAAAATTGTTAAAGTTGACATTCCGATAATGAAGAAGTTGAATGCAATATATTAAGATGAAGCTACAACATATTTCACAAAATTCAAATTAAGTCATCTAATTGGTTTGGCTGTCATCTAATTGGTTTGGCTGTCATCTTATTCTTTTTATACAGTGGTTCCGACCAGACATCTCTTTCCCCCAGAAAATATGTAAACTAACAGAATTAATAAGGCCCATGTGATTTGAGCACAGGCGTGCTTACTTTCCAAACTCCTATTTTGCCACTGTTTCTCAGTTACTTCTATGTAAGTAAATAACATATTGGTGAATTGCTTTCTAAAAAGGATCATGCTGGGACCCCTGGGTTTCTCAGTCAGTTAAGCATCAGACCCTTGATTTTGGCTCAGGTCATGATTTCAGGGTCGTGGGATCCTTACATTGGGCTCTGTGCTTAGCACAGAGTCTGCTTGTCTCTCTCCCTCCC